CCTTCTTCAGGCTGCTCAACACGAAGGACGCCTTCCTGCAGTGAGTGACGCCGCGCGGCCGCTCCCCAGTGCGGGGACGACGCTCCTCCGTTGCCCCGTGCTGTCCCCCGCCTTGGCCGGTGTCCCGTGAGCCCCCTTGCCAAGGCTTTTCCAGGTGGCCTCCATGCCCAGGTGGCCTCTGGGCTGACACGTTCTGGCTGTAAAGGAGTCTGCGTGCTGCACACATCAGCCTTAAAGCCCACGGTGGCTTTTTCAGGCAGTTTGTCCCTGTCCTCTGGCTCCTCTCGCCTGTTCGCCCCCTCCCTCGCTCCCTCTTTCATCTCTTTCTCTATAAAACCGCGTTTTGAGCGCACAGCGGTGAAGTTTTAATAGGGGATAAATCTGCTACCAGCTTCCGTGCAGCTCCGCGGACAATTAAAATGCAAATATTACCATTTCTGTCACGCTGGCCGGGCAGGCAATTGGAGTCCTAGTGACATTTTTATATGATAAATTAAGAGCTGGAGCTGGGATTGCGCTCGCGCTCTGCTCCTTCATCCTCCAGCCCCACTCCGCTCCCGACAATCTTTAAAACGAGCCATTTCAGGGAAATTGCTGCTTCGTGCCGCGGCCGCCTGACCCCACTGTGTTTGTCCCCAGGCTGAGCATCGCCTGCGACAGCACCGAGGCCGCCCCGAGGCCGAGATGAACCCCCTGTACCCGGCGGTGGCCGAGGGCGCCCGCGAGTGCTACCTGCAGAAGGAGCCGCTGCTCTTCAGCTGCGCCGGCTCCAACAGCAAGTACCGGCGCCTCTGCCCCTGCCGCGACTACCGCGAGGGACAAGTGGCTCTGTGCCGGGACTGCTTGTGACGCGGCCCCGGCCAGGGGCTTTTCTCAAAGCGTCCGCGACAGACGGACGTGGGTCCCGCCGCGGGGAGCCGGGATGTCGGACTCCGTGGGTCCTTTGGGCCGCCGGTCGTGCGGATGCCCTGACGTTTCCTTCCGTTGTTTCAGGAGCTCCTGATGTTTCTTCTCGAGGCGCATGGTCCTTCCAAACCCACCTGGGCCGCATTGGCGCTGGGTCGGGGGGGCCGGGAGAGGGGAGCCGGGCAGGGGGTTCCTTCCCCCCTTCCTTGCAGCAGGACAAGGCACCAGCAGACCCCAGTTTCAGGGGTTTCATCCTCTTCAAACATCCCAGGTTGTTTTATTTATTTTTTTTTAAATCCCAGTAAGTGATAAATTAAAGGGAAGACAAGACCTGGTGCCATGAGGAGTTACTGGGAAGAGCCGGGCTCGGGCGGATCTGGCGGGATGCTGAGGGTCCCCACAGGGACCGGGGTGGCATGAGCAGCTCCGGATCACAGAGTGGATCCCGGTGCCCAAGCCGGGATGGTCCCTGCAGCTCTGGAAGCCTGGGAGAAGCCAAGAGTAGCCCCAGGGTGATCTGTCACCTGCTCCAGGGACCGAGGGGGCTGCTCCTTGTCCTGCACCTGTGTGGGGCACCCGAGCCACCTCGCTGGGGCGTATGGGGCTCTGCTGGCCCCAGCGACTGCTGCCAAAGGCACTTTTAGGGGAGAAGAATGGAAGGGGAGAACATGGCTGGGGCCACCCCCAGGGACAGTTGGTCCCATCCTCTGGCGGACAACAAGGCCAGGCACCGGTTCTGCCAGAGCCAAATGGGACAGTGTGGAAAAGAAATGTGTCCATGAGCGCAAGTGAAGAGCTGCCCCGAGCTGTGGGGGGATCTTTGGAGTCACTGGAGGGGATTAGAACCCCGAAGTGCTCAGTGGGGAGACACTAAATGCTGTAGAAACGCAGGTCTAGAAAGTCCCAGCCTGGGAACTGCATCCCAGACCTTAAAGCTTAGGAGAAGCTGAGATGTTTTTCCTTTGGTGGGTGCTGAGGAACGGCAGAGTCCATGGGAGAGAGGCGGCACAAGCCCCACGTTCAACAAAGGGATGATTTGTGACTTGCTGGAGCCACAGAGATGCCGTTTGGAGAGCCCGGGGAGCCAGTGCCTCGGTTTCCCCTTCCTCACCAGCTCAGTGCTGGGTTGCTCAGGGATCCGGCCCCAGGATGGCGGGATTCAGTGCTCCCTGATCCCGCTGTGCTCCCCTCCGTGGCGAGGCCGTTGTGCCCAAGTCGCCGCCGTCGCCTCGGAGCCATTTGTCATTGTCAGTGCAAAGCTGCGCAGGCAGCCGCCATCCAGCCCGTGAAGGAGAGGATTGATTAAGTAATTTTTGTGTCTTGCGGCAAGCATGTGTATAAATAAAAGCCGGAAAAAATCTCTCTTTGCGGAGCTCAATAACCGTCCCTGGTGCCTTTCTGTGGCCCCTTTCATCTTCATCTCAAAGCGACACCGGGTGAACACCGTGGAGCCGTGGGGCTGGCGGCAGCACCGGGACAGGAGCTGGCAGAGCAGAGGGAATTTGGGAATTTACGAGTGGACGCAGCCAGTAACACCCTTCCTGCGACCATAAGGGCCTCCTTGGCACTGCGGGAGCCCCCAGGGAGGGTGATGTGCCGGGTTGGGGCAGTTTCTGCAGCACTCCATGAAGGAGCTGGAGTAAAAGAGGGGAAAGAGGCTTCAAAATCATCCCTCTGCCCCTGCTCCCAGACATGGGGCTTTCTAGCTGCTACTTGAGGGACTTTTCTGCATCCCTCAAACCCCCGTTGCTGGGACATCCCCACAGGGCAGAGCCTGCAGGGAGGGTTTTCACCCTGCTGACTCCTGAGGACGTTGTTCAAACCAGGACTGGCGTGTTGAAAGGCTGGTGTTGTTCTGGAAATCCATTTTGCACACCCAGAAATTATTGCTACGGGGGATTTTGTTTCTGAGCCTCTCTCTCTGTGGTGTTTCTTCCCAGTTTTTATTTGGATTTTTTTTTTTCTGTCCGTTTTTTCATAGTAGTGGGATTTGAAACCTCCCCTGCAAGGGCCTGGTGAACCTGTCACGGAGCAGGGTGTCTAGCAACACACGGGGGAGGGTTTCGTCCCCATTAAAAAACATTTGGTTTCATCATGATTTTCGTCCCAGAGCAGCAATCGGGGCCGTAAACCAGACCAGGACAGAGCTAATAGGGCCACTCCAGTTTATCCGGGGGTTATTAGGGAATGCTTAAGCGGCTTTTCCTTCCCATGGCTGCTTATCAGCAGCTGGGCAAAGTGGCAAATTGCATCTACGATGTGGCCGATCCAGGCGCGAGAAGCCCATTTATTTCCCCTAACGGGTTTATCGCTGGATCAAGGAGCTGCCGAGGATGTGAGCACTGCTGTTTATTTCCCCAGGTGATGGATCTAGCTGCCACGCGTCCCCTCCGGAGCAAAACACGTCCCCTGACAAAGACATCTAATGGCCCCACGGTCGGGACCGCCACCTTATGGACCTCAAGGTCGCGCTTTAATTGAGTCCTGTCTCCCCGGTGTCACACGATTTGTCTCGCCCTTCAGAAAGGCTTCCCAAAATAACCCAGTGCATTTTGTCTACTGCCTCCCGCCTGCGCCCCGCGCTCCTTTTGGAACCAGAAAGAAAGTTAACAAATTGAGAAAAAAAAAAAAGAAAGAAAAAAAAACAGTGTTTAGCCCTATGGAATGAAAAGAGTGGTGACATTTTGCCTTTTTTTTCTTCTGTGCTTTTTTTCTTTTCTTCCTCTTGTGCAGCAGAAAGGTGGGAGGAGGGGGACAAAATCCCTCTCAAAGCTGCAGTGCTCCCTTTGTCACCAACTCACATAAAACTGCCCGATGTCACTCATGGTGTCTCATCAATGGAAAGCCATTAAAGCTCCAGATCAATATATTTATATGTATATATTTGGGGAGCGATGGGGCTGTTATTCCCAGGCAGAAAAATGCCAACACCCAAAGCGCAGGAAAACTGCTCGAGGCGGCAAAGGGGAATTACCCCCCATCACTGTCTTGGTGCGATGAGATGGCCGGGAATGGAGCCCCGGGCGGTTGCAAAAACCGCAGGAGAGATGATTCTTCCCAGATTGTATTTTTTTGAAAAGGAAGAAGAGGGAGAGACACCAGATGTAAGAGCCTTTCTATAAATACAAGCAAGGAAATGGGAAATAACAGCCTGCCCCAATTTAGTTCCTTTCATCTGAGGAATCAAAGCAGCCGGCAGCACCTCTGAGAAGGGAGGAGGGCGACGGCAGGTGCTGGGAGACGCCGCTTCCTGCCACTGCGCGTGGCCCCCAGCGGCCCCGCTGCATCCCGGCTCTCCAGCCTCACCTGCACGCTCATCCCGCAGGATGACGGCAAGTTTCTGGCTGCGAGGACCCGGCTCCAGGCACAGCAGGAAGCCAGGGGAAGGGCTGATGTCTCCCTGAGGTTGGGAAGCCAAAGCATCAGATACTCCTTTCGTTTCTTTCTAAACCACTCAGCCACAGACCTGGTGGCAGTGGGTAAGCTGAAGGCGCCTGGAGAATGGGGGACCAGTGACGTGACAGGATCCCGCATCCACTTTCACTGACTCCCTGTGCATGAAGATGCTCCTCAACCAGCAGCCCATGCCTGGGGCCCAAGTGACATTTCTCTCCTGGGAAAGCTTGTTTGAGGTTGTTTTTGGGCTTGAAGCCAGTCTGGAAGTTCGTCTTAGTCCCTACAGATCTTGCCGGCTCTAGTTTGGGGCCAAATGAAATCCACGTTCTGGGTGCTGGAAGTGGGTCTGGGCTGGCGGGGCGATGGAAACTGTGCTGGGCTCTGCTGGAAACCTCAGCATCTTCACACAAAAGTGCCCGACTTGCTGCCCTCACGGCCAT